GTTAGTTATTATCTCAACTCTGTGGTACAATTCACATGTACAGAAGCCACGGGTTTGTATTTTGGGTGGTGGATTTGGTGGTTTATACACTGCCTTGAGACTGGAATCACTTGTGTGGCCTGATGGAAAGAAACCTCAGGTAAGTTGAGTAGGTTGGACTGTTGTTTATTTTCTCGTAGTCTTTCCTTAAACTACTCTATTGTAGTTCTTCTTTGACAGATTATGAAAGATATGTTGGAGAATTGGAAATTGTGAAACCATACCTTCTTTGGTCGTTATTTGCTTTGTCTGGTTGTAGCTCTTCCTGAATGAATTAGGATATGTTCAGCATGTTACAAATGCTTGAAAGTTATGGAACAATCACTAATCAGCTTTCACTACTTTTTCCATTATATATCTTATCACACCATATCAAGTGCTTCTCTGCTGAATCATTGCTTGTCTTAATAGTCTAAATGACTTCAATTACACATTCAGATTCTAAAAGTTTATAAAACTTGATTGGTTTAAAGAATAAAAGGTCATCTTAAAATATTTGACATGTCAAATTCTTTTTGTTAGTCTCAATTCTCAGGGATATCTTAAGCTTTAAAGGCCTTTTCTTTTTGGCCAGCACTTTAATTCCCTTACCATTTTATTTATTTATTTTTTGGCTGTCCTTTAAAGCCCTTACTAGCTTGGCAAAAACTATGCTTGTATAGGATTTTTATGCTCTATTTATTGAATATATATGGGATCAGGTACTTCTTGTTGATCAGTCTGATCATTTCGTTTTTAAGCCAATGTTGTACGAGCTCCTATCTGGAGGTATGTTGTTTTCTGGAATAGATTTTCTTGTACTGTTTTCTTGTTTCTATTGAGAGTCTGGTTGTATTTTCTTTAAAAATGGAAAAAAGAGCTTGAATGTGGCAGAATATTTTCTTATGCAGAAGTAGATGCATGGGAAATTGCTCCTCGCTTCTTGGATTTACTGACAAACACTGATGTGAAGTTCTTCAAAGACAGGGCAAAATTATTACATCCCTCTGATCATTTGGTAGCAGAAGCACCTAAAGGATCTAGTTGTGCAGGAACTGTGCTGCTTGATAGTGGCCTCCTTATTGAGTATGACTGGTAATTAATGCTCCTATCTTTGATAATAAACAACTTGGATTTTTTATGACCACTTGCTGCTGTTTCTTGGTCTTTTCTTGTTAATAATTTTTCGACATAACCATGTTTTTGCAACCAAAATACTGGGTGAACTTTGTTCTTATTTGTGCCTAAATTTGAGTTAAAACGCAACCCTGCATAGAGGTTCTCTTGATAAGCATCCAACAATCTTGATTTCTTATTTTGCTTTGGAAGGTAAAACCTGAAACACCCAATGCCTAAAATAATATTTAGTCTATTAACTATTTACTTGTTATCACTTTGGTCTAGAAAGTTTATTTTCCCCCAAACTAATCTTGAAATTTCAAAAATCATATCAAATGGTCTATCCATCAAAGTTTCATAAGTTTTTCTAAATAAAATCCACATCAGTGTCTATATGGCACCATGCATGCACCATGTGGCTGAAGAAAATGACTAGAAGATTAAGGGCATGTTTGATATAGAGGTTTAAGGTTAGTTTGGACTATTTGGACAAATAAGAATATTTGGATTATTAACAACAACTATTAGCTGTTGTCTATCCACTATTCATTGCATTTGAATCACTTATCAAAACACCCCTAAAAGAGACACTATTAATGATTCAGGATGGGAAGTTAAGGAAGCAAGGGACTTGTAGTTGACTATGGGTTAAAATGTAATTTTCATGGGCCAAGTTGTCTATGTGATGGCATACTGGCATGTAGTCGCTGACATGAGATTCCATTAATAAAACTAATGGAATTTTGATGGATAGACCATTTTTGATGAGCTTTTCAGAGTTTCTAGATCACTTTGGGAGAAAGACTTCGTAAGACCAACAAGAGATCATATGATTAGTTAATAGACCAAACATTACATTTAGCCAAACACCTAACTGATATAACTTTCTTTACTTTTGGACAGTCAGGTTGGTTCTTGCTTTGGGAGCTGAAACTAAACTAGATGTTGTGCCTGGTGCTTTAGAGTTTGCATTGCCTTTCTCCACTCTAGATGACGCATGTGTAAGTTTTGTCTTCTTCCCTAGAGGAAGCATGTCATTTTTTTGAGATGATCTTTGATATTTTGTTTTCTTTGCACGTGATCCTTTTTCTTGCAGAAATTGAACAAGAAATTAAGGGTGTTGGAGCGTAGGAACTTCAGTAAAGATTCTCTTATTCGTGTGGCTGTTGTTGGCTGTGGCTACTCTGGTGTGGAGTTAGCTGCCACAGTATCAGAAAGACTACAAGATAGGGGAATAGTACAAGCTATTAACGTCGATACCACAATCTGCCCTTCAGCGCCATCTGGAAATAGGGAAGCTGCCTTAAAAGTAAGATATCTAACTTCTGGGTAGGAAAGCTGCAAGTTAATCCTGTGTTTTTTGATATTGATTGCAAGTTCCTCCCGGACTCTTGATTTGGTATAATTCCTCTATTCCCTAGTTCATTTGGTTGGGGGAAGGAGTATTCCTGGGACAAGACAAAACTTAATAAACTTACTTGACAATCTAAGAGTAGATAAACCTTAAGATTGATAATTTTCTTAGTCATCTCCTAATTTAGTAGAAAATGATCAATCTAAAGGCTCACCTATTCTTGAAGGCCAAAAAAAAAAAAAAAGATGCTCACTTCTTCTTTTCTTAGATGCACTGTTCCAAAATCTGCTTGTCCAAATCAAACTGATGTGGGACAGGTTAGTGGTCTGGTGGGCTTTTGGATTCAGTACTTGTTTGAGGGTAGTTTAGGCTACGAACAGTGCCAGTGAACAGTAAACAGTGCCAGTGAACAGTAAAAGAGGTTAGGAATGTAGTTTAGAAGAGGAGAGAACACCCAGGCACCCTTATGAATCACACCTAAGGTTGATTGCTTCTCACAATCAAGATTGCCTCTCACAATCAAGATTGCCTCTCACAATCAAGATTGCCTCTCACAATCAAGATTGCCTCACACAATCAGGAGCATAACTGCTGGAAAATTCTGAATATTATTAACTGAATGTCTAAAGAAACTACAAGCACACAAACACACACATATCAGTAGGGATCTACTTACACAAGTTTTACAACCACACTTACACAAAATCTCAATCATTTATCTCTCCATTTTCAATGGTTGAGATTTATTCACTTTTTATCACATTTGCTAAAAATAATTATCTTTTTTATCCAGCAAGTTGTGATAAATTTCAAATATTAAAAAGTAGAGGGATGAATGGTCAAGATTTTGTGTAAGATTTGTGTGTAAGTAGATCCCTATTCTCCCTCTATATATAGAGGAACTACTAAAACTCATAATATCACTCTTATTTAGAAGTACTAATCCAACTAGGACTTGACAAAATTAAATAACTTTAAAAATACTTAATAATAATAGAAGACAATTACTAAAAGACTCACTTAAGCTCCCTACTAAGCTTCTCATCATTGGCCATGTGCCAAACTAAAGCATAGCCTTTATAGCCAACTTTGGCTCACCTTTTGTAAACCTTTGGGGGTTGCTGCCTGCATGCCACATCGCAAGCCCAATAAGACATGTCACACACTAACATAAGGTAAAACCTTTTTTTTTTTTTTTCGCTTTTTCATGGATAACCCAGATTATCCAAGTTTCTATGCCCCCACAATTAAATATTCTAGAGATGTTCTGGTTCAGGAACTTGAGGACATAATCTCTCTCCAAAATAACAGTTTTAAGTGCTCAAGAGAAAACAAAATAGTGAGGTATGATGACTTGTTAGATTCAACTTGAAGGAATTAACTAAATGCGAAAAATAGACAAGTTATGAAAAGAAAAGTGGGAAAAAATTGAAGAAACCTAAAGGGTAAAAATACACTGCTTATAATTGGCGGGAGGGGGAACAAGAAAAGAGAAATGAGAATTGAAGTACCTTGGAATTATGGTAGGAGATCCTCTGCAAAATATGCCTCCTCAATTGCTTATGCCTGGAATTAATTGGTATAAAACCCTAAAATATCTGATTTCCGTAATGTTGTAACTGCATGCAAGAATCTTTTCTTTTTGGTAATGCATCTTATTTCTCATCTTCCTAGTTTAAATTTGGAGTTATTTTTACAATATCCTTCCATGCATTCTGACTTTATGCAATGTTCTCGTTAATCTTAATATTATATAAAGATTTAGGGGTTGTTTGGATTGGTTGTTTTGATATGGCTGATAGCTGATAGTCAATATTCAATGGCTGATAATAATTATTATTTATAATTCAGAATATTTGAACCATTTGATTAGGCCCAACAACTGATAGTTGTCCTCCAACATCTGAAACAAACACCGCCTGTTGACTTTGATTTTCATGCCTTGAAGTATGCCTCTAGATTTAGAGTTTCCTATTCCCATGCCTGTTCTTGCCACTTCAGAAGTATAACTTACCTGCAATTTGTGACCTCTTGAGCTGATATTGTTGCTTGGTGCTAGGTACTTTCTTCAAGAAAAGTTCAGCTTCTCTTGGGTTATTTTGTCAGCTGCATTCGCAGAGTAGGTGACTTGGAAGCTTCAGGACATGTGACAGAGAGTGTAACAGCCCTGAATTTTGAACAATGTGACTTTGATAGATATATTTTGGAACTTGAACCTGCTGGAAAAGGATTAGAAACTCAAATTGTTGAAGCGGATTTGGTATTATGGACTGCAGGGTCTAAACCTCTTCTTCCTGAACTGGAACCCTGTAATAAACCCCATGAACTTCCCCTCAATTCCAGGGGACAGACAGAAACAGATGAAACTCTTCGTGTTAAGGGCCATCCACACATATTTGCACTCGGTGACTCTTCTGCTTTTAGAGATTCAAATGGAAGGCTTCTTCCTGCCACTGCTCAGGTATTGATCATATGCTTTTATTTTGTTATGGGATTGAAATATAACTTGAGCTCAAGAATAAAATGAATTCAACTTATTCTGTGCAATTCTTATGCCTTCATAGTGATTGGTGATCCATTTTCCAACCTATTTTTCATTGTGTTCCTACTTCCTTCCTGTATTTCTTTTACCATCTGGGTTTTAGTTTGACAACTTGCTTACTTTCTGTCCCAGGTTGCCTTTCAACAAGCAGACTATGCTGGTTGGAATCTGTGGGCAGTAATTAATGACCGTCCTTTGTTGCCATTCAGGTGCGAGATACAGGCATTTTTTCATTTTTATTGTTAAGAGTTTCATTGTTTCTTAAAAACAGTTGCATGTGCATTGTCAAAATGTGTCCACAATGATCCTTCTACAGAAATGAATTTAAAAATTTTTGTATTCCTCAGCCAATTTGTTTCTCTAAGCATTCACTGTCTTACGCTTCCTCATTCCAGTTGATCCAATGAAAGGATGTAGAAATGATAAATCAAAAACTAATAAGCATCATTTGTCAACATTAGTGTATGCTGATAGATAATTCCAACTTCTAAGCCTGATGTGACTGGGAGATATGAAGTTCCCAATACATTATTGTTTCAGAGTTTATCCTCAGTTTGGGGATATTATTTGAAACCTTAATGCAACCTAAAGTTTTTTAGACTTAAACATGTCCACCAATATTTTAGATGTAGATTTAGGTGTCTAATTTAACATAGTCTGAAGTGGTTAGTTGTCTGGAATATGGTTAGGTTATGTTGTTTTGGTCAACCACTCGCTCAAAAGTGGGAATATTTGTCAATCATTTTATCCACGAGCACTATTTTGCATTTCGAATGGATATTTTAAACTAGATGGAAATTATTTATTATCTTTTGGTTTCATTTCCAGATTTCAGAAGCTAGGAGAGATGATGACTCTGGGGAAAAATAATGCTGCTATTTCACCAAGTTTCATTGAGGGACTAACTCTAGAGGGTTCTGTTGGTCACACTGGTAAGTTTTTTGTGCATCAAACAAGCCCCTTTCTAACATCCTTTCTCTGCTGCAGAGCCCTGGTTTTCTGTTCTCCATATAATTGTAGGTACTGTTCTCCATATAATTCTAGGTATTCTGTTCTTGCAGCGAGAAAAATAGCCTACTTGCTAAGATTACCAACAGATGAACACCGGTTCAAAGTGGGGCTCAGCTGGTTCACCAAGTCAGCTGTAGACTCTGTTGCATTATTGCAAAACACCCTGGCTAAGATTCTCTCTGGCTCCTAGGATTCTTCTATTCTATTAGAAACCGGTAACATTATGTTGTGTAATCCATTCAATAAAATTAAGATTAGAGAGAAGAAAACTAATGGAAAAAGACATGGTAGCGTTAAGGCCAGGGGCTGTCAAGAGGAAAAGGTTCCCTTAGCAAACTGGACACTCTTCGCAATTCACATGACATGGGCCCTATAGCATTGCTTTTTCATAAATTGCAGATTCGCCTTCTTTAACCTTCTTGTTGTTTTGCCTTGGAGTTTTAGGTGAAACTTTTGAGCAAGATATTGAACACCAAACTTTGCTATGCATTTAACTAGTTCTCATCTCTGTAGTTAAAACCAACTTTTGCTTATGGGGTCTTATCAAAGGGAGTAGGACGCTCTTGCTTTTAGGTTTTCAGACAAAACAAAAAGTATGACATGTGAATCAGTTGAAAGTACATTTTGTGAGAACAATAATGTTGAGGCCAATCTTATGCTTGTTCTTTAGAGTGTATAACTTTAAAGGCAAAAACCTTGTCTTAAGCATCCAAACTTACCTCAAATCAATATGTGAATCCTTGAACTAAAAATGGAATAAATAAGTCTTTAAAACATCTTGAATAATGTGAATTAGCCTCCAAATCCAACTAAAGATGCTAATGAGCCCTTATTATTAATGACTCAATGCATGAAGCTCCATGTGGTCTATTCATTTCTTTTGTTTGGTCTTGCTTTTCTCCGTAGGTGCTAACATGCATCAAAAGACCCTTTTTGCAATAAAAATGCAATAAAAACCACCCACATGGCCTTTTTTTTTTTTTTTTTTTTTTTTTTAATTTTAATTTAGCATTGTTGGCCCATGTGAGTCAATTTGGTAGGATTTTGGAAAAGTGGAACAAAGTAAAGGAAAAAAATAGATGGTGTGAGGTCATATGTGTTGAGTCGTTAATGATGAGGGCTAATCTACATCTTTCAAGGGAGTCGAGCGTTAATTTTCATTGTTTTTAGTTTAAGAACTTGTGTTAATTTGGAATAAATTTGGGGGTTTAGGGGGGGGGGAGAGGTTTAGCCAACTTTAAAATAATTATAGAATTGCCCTGAAACTATTTCTCATCTTAAACCCTCATTTAGAGTTTTTTTTTTGGTTTAAGTACCATTTTGGTCCCTCAACTTTATATTTTGGTACCAAAATTGTCCCTCACCTAAAATAAGTACCAAAATTATCCTTGAACTTTCATTTTTGGTACCAAAATGGTCCTTCCGTCAGTTAAATGGACAGGTGGCAGTTAATTCGCCAGCAAATCAATTCTTTTGTTTTTAACTAATGACATGGGAAAAAAAAAAAGCATAGTTGGCCATTCTTTTTTATGTGTTGGCATTTTTATATAATTTAAAAATAATGACATTTTTTTTTCCATCCACGTCAGAAAAAAAGGGACCTCTTCTTCCTCTTTCACTTTCTCTCTCCTTTACCTTTCCTTTTCCCTTACCTCTGCAAACCCTAAAATTGGAAGCTTAGCATCTCTCCTGTCACTCCAATCCCAGCAAATCCAATCTTTCTTTTCATTTTCTTTTTCTATTTTCCAAGAAAATTCTTAGTATCATTATTCTCTGTTATCCATTAACATCAACTGCTATTCCACTACCATAATCAGTTTCTTCTTCCTTTGTTCTCCCTCTAGGCGACGCCACTTGCTCGCTCCCTCCTTCCCTAGCACCGGGTTAGGTTCCGCCACCCAACATCGGGTTGGGTTCGGCGAAGAACCAAGATGAATAGGCGAAGACCAGATCTGGGCGACGGCCGCCAGATCTGGGAATTCCAGCGTGAGGGAGCAAGGAGCCGCGAGACCTGCAAGCAAGCGGGCAACACACATAATCATGAAACAAAGAAAACAAACAGAAAACAAAAACCTAAAAAAGGCACTCGAAGGGCCTAGTCGTCGAGAGACTTCATGGGGTCATCGGAGCAGGGAACAGGCCGGCTCCATCGGGCTTGAGCAGTCGGAGAACCCGGCGGCTCAAGCAGCAAAACTCGGAAGCCCAAGGCTTCCGAGCGTAAAAACAACGGGATGCCGGAGAAGATGATCAGAAGCTGGAGAACCCAGATCTGGAGAGGAAGAAGAAAAGGGGAAGAGAGGAGATAGAGAAAGAATAAGAAAAGTTAAAAAAAGTCATGTGGGCTCCATTAAAAGGGAAAGTTTAAAAAGGTGATAATATGATGTGTAAAAAAATATGCCACGTGTAAAAAAAAAAATGCCATGGTAACAAAATTTTCATAGTTGGATTTACACGTCATTAAGATTCAAGAGGTTCAATGATTTTGTGGCATTTTAACGAGCCACCTGTCATTTAACTGACGGAAGGACCATTTTGGTACCAAAAATGAAAGTCTGAGGATAATTTTGGTATTTTTTAAAACTGAGGGACAATTTTGGTACCAAAGTGAAAAGTTGAGGGACCAAAATGGTACTTAAACCTTTTTTTTTCCCCTAAACTGTGCAAGCTAGGGATACTTAGATTTTTGTGGTGGATTACATATGGGCAAAGAATCCTCTTAAAGATACTCCCATTCCTAGGGCTGGGCACCTAAGGCAACATTGTTATATATATTAGGTATTTTCTAATAATATATATTATTTACATCATAATATATTCTATGATATATTATATATATAAACGCATTACTCTTAAGAGCATGCATGTAGGATATGCTTTTTCTTAAGGCATGAAGCAATGTTGGAAACAAAGAAAAAAAGAGAAAAAAATGAGATAGAAAAGGAGTGGTTGAAAATGGTTGAAAACTATTTCAATAGTTATCTAAAATTATCTTTTGAATTTGAAATGAACAAGAGCAATCGTTTCAAATAGTGTAAAAGTAATTTTAAAAGATTCTAATTAAACTAATGTAAAAGGCACCCATTAGGGTTTGTACATAAATAGAATAGCCCCATGGATAGAACTACTTCTTCTTGGGATTTTTAGCTTTCGTTGCTTTATTCCTTGAATTTCTATACTTTGCTTTCAAGTTCTAGTATACTAGTTTTGGGTGATTGAAGTTTATCTTAGTGGCCATTGTATCTTGGGGATTACATATTCTACAAAGAGGCAAAAACTATAATTCTCAAGAAAGGTTCTTAGTACTGCTTCCTTGCTCACAACAATTGCATCTACAACTCTGCATACAATAATGTAAGGATAATAGTCTTTTTGAATGGAGTTTGCAATAATCAAACTGCATATTGATGTTGAGAAATAGGAACTCTTCAATGGGTTGAATTACAAGCGATGGAGCATGAAGATTTATTATCAAATCACTATTTAGAAGGTGGCATATGTTTTGCAAGATCCATATTGACAAGATTGCACCAACATCAAAAATGGAGAATTCATGGAAAAGCAACACAAATGGCTTGAAGATGATTATGTTTGCTATCTAACTATCTTGCAAGCTATGATAAATTCTCTTTTCAATGCTTTTCACAAATACTCCATTGCTTTTGAGTTAGAGCATACGGTAGTACAAAGGTATGTGAATGGGGATGCTGGCAATAAGTCTTTTCTTGTCAACAAATACATTGATTTCAAGATGAGTGATTCCAAGCTTGTCATTGATCAAATCAATGAATTAAATGATATTGTAACGGAATGTGTGGATGCAAGTGAACCAAATTTTGAGACCTTTGATGTGTCTATCATCATTGGTAAATTACCACCTTCATGGAAGGATTATCAAAATTTTCTTAAATACAAGAAAAGATCTTTGATGTTAGATGAATTCGTGAAGTATATTCAAATTGAATATGAGGCCAAGAAAAGAGAGTTAAGAAAAGAGTGATAATGTGAATGCTTTGGAGGGAACATCTTTTTCCAATAAACCCAATCACAAGTCCAAGAAAGGACAAAAAGGGTCTTCTTCAATAGAAGGCAAAAATGGTAAGCACTTGGCAACTTTCAAAAAGAAGAAAGGACCATGATTTGTATGTGGAAAATTGGGGCATGTTGCCATGGAATACTATCACTGTAAAGGGAAGAAAATTAGTGAAGCAAATATCATCACAAAGGATGATATGGTGACTATGCTCATTGAATTATTTGTTCTCAACAATGAAGAGGATTGGTGGCCTAATTCAAGTGCAACATGTCATGTGACTCCATTCAAAAGTTCTTTCAAGATATGAAGAAATTAATTGAGAAAAATCTATCTTCATGGGAAATTCTTCCACTTGTATTGTTGTTGGTAAAGGGATTGTAAAACTTCCTTTGACTTCTATAAAGGTTCTCACCTTGCAAGAAGTATATTACATTGAGTCTTAAGAAAAGTTTAATTTCTGTCAAGAAACTTGATGATCATGGGTTTAGAGTTGTATTTGGTTCCCAAAAGGTGATCATATCTAAGAAAGGATCTTCATTGGGAAAAGGTATGCCAAAGATAATATGTATGCTATTAGTATTAATAAAAATGCATCTAATTCTGCTTATATTGTTGATTCTAGTGATATTGATCATCTTTGGTATTTTAGATTAGGACATATAGGTAATAATGCATTAATGCATATGATTTATTATGATTTTATTTCTAAATCCAGTTCTATTCTTAATATGAAAACATGTGAATGTTGTGCACAATCTAAGATTACTAAATCATTTGTTAAATTTGTCATTAGAAATACATCTTTGTTGGATCTAATGAGTTTATTACTTTTTGTGAAAAACGTGGTATTGTTAGAGAACTTTTAGCTCTTAATTCACTTCCACAAAATGTAGTAGAAAGAAAGAATAGAACTTTGCTGGGGATGGTTAGCATCATGTTAATTCATTCTAATTGGCCATTTAGGTTTTGGGGTAAGGCATTGCTTACTACATGTTATATTTTCAATAGAATTTTGCATAAAGGTAAAAGGATATATGACACCATATGAATTATTGAATGGTAGGAAACCAAAAATTGATTATTTTAAACTTTGGGGTTACATTGCATATGTTTTATATTCAATCATGAAGCGGCCTAAACTTGGTAGTAAGGCTATAAGATCAATTTCTATTGGTTATTTCTTGCATAGTAAAGCATGTGGATTTCTTAATTTGAAGACTGATGGTGCTTTTGAGGCGATTTACGTAATTTATTTTGAGCATTTAACCACTAAAGATGTTGATAGTTTAGAATTAGAAAAAAATTTATCAAATGAATTGGAATTTGATTCCCTGGTACTCAATGAGCATGTAGAAGATTCTAATACAACTATTTTGTCTCATTCTAGTTTGAATGGTCAAAATTTTGGTGTTAGTCACATGGGTCATTCTAACAATTTGCATTAAAGTGTTTCCAACTAGATGCTTCTTATGGAAGAAAGCCATGGATTATGAGATAAAGTGCATTCTTAATAATAATACATGGATTTTAATTGATCTTCCTCTTAATACTAAACCTAATTAGCTGCAAGTGGGTCTTGAAAAGGAAATTGAAAACAGATGGAAAGCATTATAAATATATAAAGCAAGACTAGTAACCAAAGGTTTTAGTCAAAAAGAGGGTTTGGATTACTTTGAGACATTTTCACCAATTACTAAATTTAGTTTTATTAGAATTATGTTTACCATTGCATCCATTTATAATCTTCAGTTACATCAAATGGATGTGAACATTGTATTTTTGAATGGAGAACTTGATGGAAATCTACATTCATCAACTTGAGGTGTACATAGTACAAGGTTAAGAGGATAAGTAATATAAACTTAACAACTGCAAGCACCTAGGCGATGGTATAATAAATTTAAAAAGTAAATTAGGAAATTTGGTTTTAAATGTAGTAAAGTAAAAAGTTGTGTTTTTGTTAAGGTTATTAATGATCATAAAGTTCTTATTACACTTTATGTTGATGATTTGTTAATTTATGGTTCTAATGTCCATTGTATTAATGAAACAAAAAATTATTTAACTCAAGTATTTGACATAAAGGATTTAGTCTAGTAGATGTCATTTTAGGAGTTAAAGTTATTAAAAGGGATGGTAAATATATTTTGACTCAATCATATTATGTTGAGAAATTATTAAGAAAATTTGGTTATTTTGATTGTGCGTCTAGTAAAGCTCCAATCGACCTACATGTTAAATTAAGTCCTAATCAAGGTGAACCTATTAATCAAAAGGAGTGTGCTAAAATTACTGGTAGTTTAATTTATGCTATGAGTCATTCTAAGCTTAATATTACATGTATTGTTGGAATTTTTTAGTAGATTTACTAGTAATCATAATATTGAGCATTGGAATTATCAGATATTTGAAATACACTTTGCATTCTAGTTTACATTATAATAGCTTTACTTGTGTCTTAGAGTGTTACAGTAATGCTAATTGGGCATTTGATAAGAAAAATTCAAAATCAACAAGTGAATTGTTACTTACCATTGGTAGATCCATTGTTTATTGGTCCTCTAAAAGACAATAGTGTGTGGCTTTGTCTTCTATGGAATTTGAGTATGTTGCTATGTCTTTAGCATCCAAAGAAATTTTATGGTTGGGGAGATTCTTAAACATGTTCCTTTTACAGAAGTGCTAAGAGAACCCATCACTTTATTTTGTGATCATCAAGCTGCAATTCATAATGCTACAAATGAAAGGTTATTAAATAATAATAATAAATACATTGCCATGAGATATAATCATGTAAGAAGTGTTGTGAAAAAAAGAAATGATAGTGGTAGAATATCTACTTACTGAACAAATGTTGGTTGACCCCTTAACAAAAACTTTAAGTAGAAAAAAGTTAAAGTTTGGAGAGGAATGGGACTTTCACTAGTAACGGTGGAGTATTCATATTTGAAATCAATTTCATGACTTTGATGTTCATATGAAGACATGCCTTTAATAAAAAATCAAGTGCATAAAAGTTCAATGGCAATTCACTCATGAATTGTTAGCACAAGGTGTTACATTTCTAGTGCACTTCATTATTTAAGAAATGGTGAGGGTAATGAATTAAATAAATTAATAATTATTCCTTTTAAAATCCCTTATTTAAAGTGCATGCATTGTTTGTTCATAATAAAGTAAGTTGGACATTAAAGTTCTTACTAAACTCAAAGCTTACTCAAGTGGAATGGAAGTTATGAACAATTTTGATGAGTTTACCTATGCAAGTGGGAAGGTTAGAGGTTGCCTTTTATGGATTACATTGGTTAATCTTAAGAGTACTTGCTATAACAAGATTAGTGCATGACCATTTTATAAACGCACTTGCCATGGTGGAACTTTAAGTCCTTGTATAATGTGAATATTGTTTCTTAGTGATTTCTATTCAATCCAAAGGTTCAAATGTTGGCCACTTTTGGACATGCATTATACAATACCAGTATACTTAATAAATATTATTAGAAAATAAGTGGGGGATTGTTATATATGTATATATATATATATATTAGGTGTTTTCTAATAATATGATGGGAACCCTAAAGATAACAATGAGACCCACAACGTGACAAGAGATTTTGAAACTCTAGGAAAGCTAAATCAGGTTTATAATAAGACGTTGACCCGTTGTTTATGTCGCAATAAGAACCCAAGGTGAAAACATTGACCCGTTGTTTATGACGCAACAATAACTAGGGGTATAAAGTTGGTTGAAGCCACATCCTCGAACGGTTAAGGACAAGAATGATAAGTCAAGTTAGAACGCCACAAGAATAATCTTGATTAGTTCTGTAAAGTTTTGAAACGAACTAAAGAGAAAAGTCTCTCAAATACTTAGATTTAATAGCTTCCTCCCAATTAGGGTTACAAGGCCTTTAAATAGGGAAAACTAATTCTTAATTGCAATAAAAAACTAACACTACCTAAACCTAATAATCACAAATTGAGCTTCAAATAAATGAATATTCAGCTCAAAAATAATTAAGAAAATTGTGAAAATCACTCAAAATAACTTTAAAACACATAAAATATCAGTTTGCTACAAATTTCGGCAAAATTATGTGATTTTGATGCGAATTGTGTAATTCAGCATGAATGAACTCAATTAAGTTTCTCTTGAACCTAAATGATGTTTACCATGCCTTGATAATCATTCAAGTTTCGATTTACTTGTTGCATGTTATTTTCAACACAGATATGCTCAATAAGACCATTTAAAGCTTTTCGCATCTTCTTAACTTTAGCTCGTAACTGGACCTCCTCGAATGTGTAATGGATCCCTTGACATGGTACATGTGCTATCGTCTTAATTCCCATCATAATATATATATATATATATTCTTTGCATCATATAATAATCTATGATATATTATATCTTTTATGCGCATGCATATGGGGTATGGTTTTTCAGGCATGAAGTAATGTCAGAAACAAGGGAAAAAGAGAAAAAAAGAGATAGAAAATGAGTGGTTGAAAACGATTGAAAAACTGTTTCCATAATTATCTGAAAATACTTGAATTTGAAATGAACAAAGCAACCGTTTCAAATAGTGGAGAAGTAATTTTAAAAGGTACTTGTATAAACACCAGATATTTGATAACTAAAATACTTTGAAGAGTTGCCTTTATTCTAGACTAGTGTAAATGATGTAAATCCAGGTTTGACTTTAAAGGATTCCATTCAAGTTCCCGTTGGACTAGTTACGACGACTTGAGCTAAGAAGTTCAAGGAAACACTTAATGGGCTGATTCGAGAAATATGGACTCAAGCAAATTTGTGGAGGCCCATTGAGGAAAGTCCATGTGAGCCTTAGAATTACATCAGCCTAATCCAAGTTCTAGAAGACTCTGTCAAAGCCAAGCCTAATCTTTGTAAGTAATGGTCATGAACTTTGGGCGTGAACTCAGCAAGCATTCTAGCTCAAATTTATTACTTTCCTTTTTGGGTTTTGGCTTGCATGCCAAGTTTTTCTTTCTTGGGTTGAATTACGCAAGTTGCGTTAAATCTGCTGCAGTTGGTCGCAAACTAATATTTCACAATGTTCTTAGGTTATTTTAGCTTATTTTTACATTTGTTGTGTTATTTGGGCTAAACATTCATTTACTTGAAGCCCAAATTTGTGATTATTAGGGTTAGGACTTGGTTTGTTAGTTTCCTATTCTGGTTAGGATTAGTTTTAGCTATTTATAGGGCTGCAACCCTAATTGTAACATCGATCATTATTCATCAACATTGTGAGAATGAATTCTCTCTGGTTCTTTGAAAAACCTTTTGAACTTATTGGAATTATCAGTGGCGTTCATCCTAGACTTATCAATCAACCCTTCCATAGTTGATTGTGGCGTCTTCTCCATACCAAAGTTCTTACCTCGTCATAGGTAACGGGTCGCGGTTCCATTCTCTCGAACTTGTCTTAGAAACAGTCTTGGTGATGAGAACCCCAAAGAGAACAATGAGACCCATAGCACGACAATGAATTTCTAAACTCCAAGAAAGCTAAATCATGTTTATAATAGGACCTTGACCCATTGTCCTTGTTGCAACAAGAACCAGAGGTATAAAGTCGGTTCACGCCACACCCTCGAACGATGAAGAATGAGAATGATAAGTCAGGTTAGAACGCCACAAGAATAATCTTGATAAGTTCTGTAAAGTTTTGAAACGAACCATAGAGAAAAGTATCTCAAAACTCAAATTCAATAGCCTCCCCCCCATT